AGCCCAGGAGGAACACGGTAGGCCTCCTTACTGTCCTTCATGAAGCTCCACCTCAAGACAGCTGGCCCGCCCCACTCTGTCTTGTCTCTGTGATAGAAGGAGTCACGCCGGTTTTCTAGATGCAATTTCAGGAGCAGCTTTCAGGGACTGTGCCATCAGGGCTAGACTGGTTTATTGAACTGGAGAGCCTGGCAGAGCTGACAGATGCCTTGTCAAGCTTTGGACACTGCTGACCACATATATGGACTCTTGGTTGGCCCAGCCCAGGGCAGCCTTCTGTGTAGGTCAGGGAATCAATGAAGCTGGGGTGTGGGGGTTAAGGCAGGAACCAATGATATGGCTGGGCCAACCTGGGGTGAATAAGACACCTCAGGGGTCAGCCAGACCAGGACCTGACTGGCAGATGAGGAGCCTCAGGAAGCCTTTAGGGGCAGACTCAGGGCCAGCTTGTAGGTCCTCTTTTGCCACTAGAACCTGATCTTCCATCTGAAGATGGAGCTCACCAACTTACCTCCTTCTCCTTTGTGACCTTCTGATGCAAGCAAGGCCTAGAAAAGGAATAAAGGTGAGATAATAGACGCCCTCTTTCCCCTAAGGTGTCTGATTATGTCTGTGAGAAATAACTGGGTGATACGCAGTTCACTAGGCATCTGCTATGCTCAGAATGATTTTGGGGGCATACTTTCTGGACTTATAAATCCAAATGTTCTTCAGAGGGAAAGGGTCATATCCAGAGAATGCTCTTAATCATGTTTGAGCCATAGACCTCTTTGGACCATCTCAGAAAAATGCATGAAACACATCGAGCCACTCACCATCCCCCCACACGTACTTACACAAACACCCACAATCCCCTCCCCACCAATACATACACCAATTCACACACCCCTGCAGGTATATCCACTCCCACATGCCCACATGCACATAGGCCTTCCCCACACCAACTCCACACACCTACATATACATCCATTCACACATACAACACAATCCTCCCCCTTACACACTTACCTGTTCAAACACCCGCCCACCTGTCCGCTCCATACACACCCATGTGCACCCATACAGATACCCACATGAAAAAAACCACACATACACATGCTTCACACACTCTTTTTCATTTAACATCAGATTACCTCCAGGTTAAGAACTCCCCATATGTCTTTTTACAAAGTTCTCTTATTCACAGAATTCTGCAGCTGGCAATCTAGAATGTAGGATCCCATGGAATCTCTGAGAATAGACCATGCACACTTTGCAGCAGTATGGGTTGGGGTTTCCTCTTCAACCTGTCTTCTACATCGGGTGTAAGAAAAGATCAGAAAGGGTTGGGAGAAGCTCTGAGGAGCTCCTTAAGCCTTGCATTGATTTTAGTCTTAGCCCAGACATATTTTTTTGTTTGTTTGTCCCTTTATTATTGTTTTTAATTGAAACATAATTTATTATACATATTTGTGGGGTACAGAGTTGACTATTGGAATTTGTGTACATTTGATGATCAAATCAGAGTAATTATATTCATTACTGTAACACAGAATAATTGATTGTGTCCATTAGCCAATATCTCCCTAACCCCCAACGCTTCCCTCTTTTCCACCTCTAGTAACCACAGTTCTGTTCTCTCCTTCTGAAAGTTCAACGTATTGTTATGGTTGTTGTTTCTTTCTTTTCTTTCCTCACTCCCTTCCTCCCTCCCTCCCTCCCTTCTTTCCTTTCTTTCATCCCACTTATGAGTGAGGACACGTGGTATTTCTCTTTCTGCTCCTGGCTTATTTCAATTAACATGATTTTCTCTAAACACATCCATGTTGCTGTGAATGGCAGAATTTCATTTTTTGTTTTTATTCAGCTCAGATATTTTGAATGAGCATTGGGCTCTCTGCAGTCAGTATCAACCTTCTTCTTGAAGAAATTCGACCGGATAGCTGGATAGATATCTACAGACTATTGCACACACTCCAGAAAGATGTGGAAGTCATGCTGACTGTGCTGCCACAGAGATTCTAGGCCCGTTAGTGATCTGGTCACAGTTAGCTTATCTCACTGGAACAAACTCCTGACCTGGGAGGCCAAGAGTTATCCGAGTTTCTCTGAATCTGCTCCAGCTCCCTAAATGGCATGTAATGTCTAGTGGGGATCCGTGACTAGTACCCAAGCCAGCTGATGGAGGCTTGCGTAACTACTAACCCTCTTTTTAAATAACTGGGGCCTATTTCTTTTTCTGTTTAAAATGGATTGACTGAAATGGTCCAGCTTTGTGTGATAAATGTACCCCACCTATGAGCTGCACATCTATAGCTCAGGGCCTCCATATCTGTGTGGCTGTGTGGGAGTGTTAATGAACTAAAATACACCACTAAAAGCCGTGGTTTGGGCTTCTCCAACTGGGTGCCCTCCGCCTTGGGAAGGAGTGCCTATTTCTAGTTTGCACTGAGGATTAGCTTGTGTCCGCTGAGAAGCCAATGCCAACACGGGGTTAGGTGTGCAAGAGATTTATTAAGGGAGGGAGTGGAATGGACATCGAGACTGCAGTGCAGGTTTGACATCTGTGAAAGGAGAAGGGGAAGGAGGGAGGATTAGGTAGAAAGCATCTTATACATTAGTGCAGTTTTAAGAACGGTTCAGACAGAGTGGAATCCTCAAGCCAAAGCTGCCCATTGGAAGAGTCCTGATTTTGTTAGAAAGGCCTGCCTCAGTGACCCTAATGGTCCTTCCAGGCCCCTGTTCAGACAGCCAGACTTTTGGCCACAGCTCAGTCTCAGTGGGTATCTTTGGCATGAACGTAGAGGTGGACTCTGAGGGGCAGCAGCTGGGTCTGTCAGTGAGTTACGCTGCCAGTCGCAGGAGATCTGAGCGGCACGTCGTCGTGGCTGCCACAGCCCACCCCTCACACCACACAGTCTACTTCTCCAAACGGGTTGGGGAGCAGCTCGTCTGTGGTCCCCAGTGACTCTCCTCCTGAGGGAAAACCATGAAGAGGCAGCTGTAGTCCTCACGGCTGTGCTGGCGTTGGGGCCACGACTTATATTTATCTCCACTCTCCTCTACCTACCACCTGCTCTAAATGCCCCTCACTCTCAGCTGTCACCTTGGTGGCTCTTGGTGGCTTCCCTGGTGGTGTGACCCAAACCTATACTGCTAAGGGGTCTGAATTCTTGTCAGTCATGACTTAGCTTGTACTGAGGAAGCTGCAGACGTCCATTCACAGTTACAGTGGGGCAAGTGAGTCCCGGCAGGTACCCAGGGGATCGCCTGGGCTCCAGATGTTCTCATGGAGTAAAAGTGACTCTACCTCCTCGTGCTGATCAGGGAAAATTGCTCCTGACACAGTGATGACTCCTTGTCATGAATCTGGTACAAAAACAGGGTTAGACATCCAAGAGATTTATTACTGAAGGGGAGACCCTTCAGACAGCGGTGAATGCCCGACAACTGCAGAAGGTGACAGAGAAGGAAGGATTGGTGAGGGAGAGTCTAGGACTGTCATGTGGTTCCAAGAAAGGTTGAACAAGCTGGCGGAAAGTCCTCAAACTAAATTCACCTGTCAGAGGTGTCCCCCATCTTGCCAGAATGGGTCTGGCATAGCACCCTGCTGAGGTTAGTCACAGTCTCTGGGAATCGTGGCGTTGGCACCAAGACTGTGGAAGATCCAGAGGGGAGCAGTGGGGCCACCAGTCAACCATGCCAGCCACGGCAGGAGATTGGATCAGCACATGTTCACGGCCCCATTACCCTGCATCTGATGCCCCCAAGCGTCTTACTTCCTTTCTTGTTTTCATTCTCCAAATGTCCTGTTTCCAAATTCTCCAGCTCTTTGTAACCCTTTGATTTCAACCCATTTGGACACTCTTTGGGCTTTCGGTGTGAGTTCCTCCCAAGCATTCCTATTAAAGTGCTCCTTTCCTTTGCTTCTCTCCCTGCCTTCGTGGATTATAGTTCTTAAGCAAGTGAAAAGCCCTTCTCAGACACTGCACATTAATCGAGCTCAGGACTCAAGGCTCAGATTTTTCTGGGAATAAAGATTTCACAGCCAAATTAAGAGAAAGGTGTTAGTAAAATATCCAGTTTTTTTTCTGTCAATAATATCTAAGTTACCTACAGTCCTATAGATAAGACTGTGTTGGAGACAGGAGCTACCAGAAATCACAGCAAATTATTTTTAATAATTTTGACACTATTTAAAAAGGAATACCCTGGAATGTTGGGTGATTGTGTGAAAGAGGACTCTGCCAACCATGAAAAGTACTCAGCAAATCTTTGTTAAATGAGTGATACCTAATAATGGAAAAACAAGACCACCGAGAAAATAGTCACGTTCCTGGTTAATCTACTTTTTTGTGTCCCATAGGAAGTTCAGCCATTAATGAATCCATTTCTCAGCTGGTGGAAGAATTCTTTGTCTTCTCTCATGCAGAGCAAGAGTTTTATTTGTTTGTTTGTTTTGTTTTTTGGCAGCTGGCCCGTATGGAGATCTGAACCCTTGACCCTGGTGTGATGAAGTGGCACTCTAACCAACTGAGCCAACTGGCCAGCGAGTGTTAGAGTCCTGTGATATGAGCATCGGTTAGTCTTAATCACATGTTCTTGTTTTACAAGTCTGGTGTTCTTGAGCCAAAGAAAGAATTTTGGCTGGTAGACCCTTTTGGATAGAAAACCAGAGGAGATCTTAATAAGCCCTTCCCTCCCACCTGTAACTCTCTGGGACCAAGAAGATGTTACCTTTACTCTGCCTTTCAACATGCTATGTCTTCTGTGTTAAAAATCCTGAGAAGACCCAGCAAAGAGACGTCCCCGACCAATTTCAAGACTTTAATGTTTTGTTACTTCTGTAGACTCTACCTCCAAGCTGACCACTCCCAGAACTCCCAATGGCTTCTTCATGTAATCCTTAAACTTTACTTAACCCAGAGGTTGATATGCCTGACTATTAATCCAGAGGGTTGAGTGGCTGTTACAAGCAATCTCACACATTTCACCTTCTTCCCAGTCTCTTCAGATAATACCTGCTTATTCAGGTTGCCATTTACTAGTAGCCCCAGCAGAATATAGTCATCACAGTCACTGACCCTATTAGTAGAATCATAGCCCAATTCTACTTGCCCCTCTTTCAACCGATTCTCCTCTTTTAGTTCAGAGCCAGTCAGCACTTGAACTCGGAAGACTGTAGCAGCTATGTCCAAAAACACGGTCAGATGGCTGCCAGCCTTAGCCTCCTTGATATAAAAGAAATTCTTATCCAAGCTATAGGCATTCATGAGACCAGAGGCGTTGGTAACATTCAGGCTAGTGTAAATAGTGGCAGCAGGGTTGCTGGGAGAGACCATGTCAGTTTCCTCAAACTGTGTATCTTTGAGGCTGTTGAATTTGCCCTCAAAGGAGGAGTAATTGCCCATGTGCTGGAAGAGGGAGGGGAAGAATCGGATTGGTTTTTGCTGCATGCGAAGGTCACGAAAATGGGAGAGAAGGTGGTCACAGGGCATTTCTTGGTGGAAGAGGAGAAGGAAGCGAACCAAGCAGGGGAGGTCTCCAGTATGCAAGAGTTTTCCAATGAAGCCCAGCTGAGAGAACTCCAGAGTCACCCAAGGTTTCCTTTCCCACGCAGACAGGATAGTAGCAATTTGGGTGAGAAATCCAGAGGCACATTTCACGTCATCTTCAATCATCAGGAAATAGTCAGAACGGTTGGTAGCAAAGTTCATGAGGAAGGCGTAATCCATGTTCTGCTTCGAGCGGAAAGCTACATAGGCAGGGGTGTCGTTAAAGTTTTTCTTAAAGTCCTTCAAGGGAAGGTAGCTTTTAAGAGGAGTATTGATCACTACTAGCTGTCTGGCCTGGATATATGGTTTAAAGAGGGCTGAGATGTTGGTGATCATTTGATCAAGCCAGTTGGGGTCAGGATCTGCCAGGTGCACTAGAACAATGAAGTGTTTCCGCTCGGCTGGGGAGGAAGCAAAGAAGAGCGATCGCAGAGTGTTCAAGAGGTAGCTCCCGCGTGGACGCTGCACGGAGGAAATCCCTATGGTCAGCAGTTCTAGGATGGAGAAGAAAAGAGGGTCTTTGTCAACTTAGAGAAATGAGGAAAGTCGTTGCTGTGGGTGAGGTTATGGCACTCTCTTCGATCTGTGCACCTGGCAACTTCATGCGTTCCCATGGTCGTTTTACGTTCTTTCCCCTAGGCCTGAGTATGGACTGTATTAGAAGTTAATATCTGGTCACAAGCTCAGAGTTTTTATTTTATTTTTAAAAATTTATTACCTTTGAAAAATTGTCGTGGGGGAAATGGATAAAGATGACAAACTGAAAGACAGAAAGACTAGGGGACAGGATTGGGGGAGACATCTGAGCGGTGGAATCCATAGCCCAAAAGACAAATGAGAAAACAACTGCATGGGTAAAGCTTTCTACAAAAAGCCTCTAAGAAATTCCAAGTTCAGAGCCACCAGGTGCAAAGAAGAAGCATGTGCCCTGGGATGATCATCTGGACAATTAGTTATAGGACTCTTTCCAGAACCACTGGACCAGTGACCACCATAGGACTGGTGGTGGCGACACCTATCCTCAGGCTAAAGTCATAAGGATTTTTGTCGATTTAAAGTGGAAGTTCTGCCAGGGGAAGGCTCATGGTAGTTATAGGACTCTTTCCAGAACCACTGGACCAGTGACCACCATAGGACTGGTGGTGGCGACATCTATCCTCAGGCTAAAGTCATAAGGATTTTTGTCAATTTAAAGTGGAAGTTCTGCCAGGGGAAGGCTCATGGTGTGAGTCCTGGAGCTGGAGAGAAAATCAGAACTGAAGCTGAGAACCTCAGGCACCCGAGGGGGGAAAGGACATAACACAGCTGACTATGGCACCTGCCTCTAGGTTGACGCTCTGGGTACGGCTCCCTGAGGTAACACTCTGAAATGAAGAGGTGAACAGAGGCTGTCTGAGTAAGATAAGTGGGACATGCCCCAGATGACTGAGGACTCTACTAAGAGTCTAAAGTCATCAGCTACCCACATCCCTTACTGGCTCCGTGTGTCACTCCATCATCACAACCCAGTTTTATAGAGAGGCAATCAAGGATGGCTATCTAAAGCAACAAAGTTCATTGTTCATTCTAGATCCTCAAGTAGGAATCTGAAACAAGAATCGCCAATAAAATGCAAAAGAAACAACTCAGTCAGAAAGAAACTCTAGAAATGGAAGCTAACAGAGGAAACAATGAATGGAGGAATGTGAACTATGTTAAATTAACACTCAGGTTGGAGATAAAACCACATTCTTGGCAAAAGAACAGGCTAATACGAACCAGAAACAGTTTGTAGAAAATATGGATATGGGGACTTATTCAAGTTCAGGTTAGATTTTTTGGCAATACTATCTCATGTGTTGATGATGCATTCTTCCATCTTAAGGCACGTACTGGCAGCTGGCTTCTGTTTGTGTGATGCTAGCAGTCTTTGATGTACAGTCAAAGACTGAACACAAACACAAAAGACACAAAAATGTTGAAAAGATAGTAATGAAAAAAGATACGTGCACAATGTATGTATCTGGATTTCACTTAACATTGCTGTTAAGAACTGGATTTCACTTAACATTGATATTAAATGAAGTATTTTCCCAGATGCATCTCTTTTATATTGGTCTTGGATGCATTCAGAAATACATAGGGGTTTGGAAAATGCCGCTTGGATCCAACAACATCATCAGCTTTCCTCTCATCAAAAAAATGGTAAAGAGAAAAGTATTTTTTTTTCCTTTTTGTCTTTTTTACTGACCGGTAACGGGATCGCAACCCTCAGTGTTGGGCCTGCACCGTGCTCAGCCAGTGAGCGGGAACCGGTCTCCACATGGGATTCGAACCCTCGGCGGGAGCGCCGCCACGCTCCCAAGCGGCGCACTCTCCAGTGCGCCACCGGGCTGGCCCAAGAGAAAAGTATTTTTAAATGAAGTTGATAATGACATTTGAGATGACTGTGAGAGTATCAGTTCAAAATGTGTAAAGAGTTTCTGCAAAATCATACATTTTTATTTAAAACTGTGAAAAAAAAGTTCCAGTCAAGATGGTGAAGTAGACAGTTCTGGTGTAGCCCTCTCGCACAGAATGCCCAATTTGCAACTGTTAAGGAGCAATGACAGAAGACCCAAGATCTCCACCAGAACAGGCAGCAACCACGTGCCACGGGACCCTAATTCAGTTTGCTCCCCTCTGCATAGAGAGACTTTAGAGCTTCTCGTCCCACATGCCCCAAGCCTGCCAGGCAGGAGAAGGCAGGTAGGGTGGGAATTCCGGCCCAGGCCAGTCCCCACCGCCAGGAGACATTTAAGAGGCTTGGGGGCCCCCACACCCCAAGCCAGCTGTCCCAGAGAAGGCAGGCAGGGTGGGACTTCCGGCCCAGGCCAGTCCCCTCTGCCGGGAGAGACTTAAGAGCCTCGGGGACTGTGCACCCTGAGACAGCTGTCCGAGAACAGGCAGGTACAGTGGGAACCCCAGCCAAGGCTAGTTCCTACTGACCAGAAGCAGCAGTCCCTTCAGGATCCAAGACAGACATCACGGTGAAACGAGTGGACTGTGATACCCCTGGACACAATGACAAAACACCAAAGGAAAGACACCAGAAATAAGAAAAATAAGAAAGTACATCACCACCAAAGGAAAATAATAACTCTCAAGCACTACATCCTATAGAACAGGAAGTCTTTGAAATGACAGACAAGGAATTTAGAGTAACAATTCTAAGGAAACTAAATGAGATACAAGAAAATTCAGTTAGACAACACAATGAAATGAGAAAAAATATAATGGATCTGAAAGAAGAAATGTACAAAGAAATCAATGCCTTGAAAAAGAATGTAGCTGAGCTTGTGGAGCTGAAGGATTCATTCAATGAAATAAAAAACACAACAGAGAGTTTATCCAACAGACTTGAACAAGCAGAAGAGAGAATTTCTGACCTTGAAGACAGGCTGTTTGAATTAACACAGGCAAACCAGAAAAAAGAATCAAAAAAATTGAAGAAAATCTAAGAGAGACTACAGATAACCTTAAGTGCTCAAATATCTGAATCATGGGTATTCCAGAAGGGGAAGAAAAAGGAAATG